CAAGAAGGAATCATCATACAAATGAAACCTTTCTTTATGCAATAGTAAAGAAACAAGTCTTTTAACTTACTGGCTACAAAGCTATCTTTATACAGTAAACCATATAAATACCAAAAAATATATAAATAAAACCTTTTATGCAACAAATACCCCTCAAAAAGTGACAGATTCTTCATTAAGTTTCAAGCTCCTTTTCATTCACTTCCATGACATTTTGATATTTACAGACAAATCTGACCCCTGGGTTTATTATAAATGACAGCAATACTAAAATAAAAGGAAGCAGATATTCTGGTGACTTCATCTATTTCTTTCTTTCTTTCGAGACGGAATTTCACTCTTGTTGCCCAGGCTGGAGTGCCATAGAGCAATCTCAGCTCACCGCAACCTCCACTTCCCGGGTTCAAGCAATTCTCCTGCCTCAGTCGCCCAAGTAGCTGAGATTACAGGTGACTGCCACCACACCCAGCCAGTTTTTTTTGCACTTTTAGTAGAGATGAGATTTCACCATGTTGTCCAGGCTGGTCTTAAACTCCTGACCTCAGGTGATCCACCTGCCTCTAAATTCTGATCCACTGCCATCAAATAAGCCAATTATGAAAAATTAGAATACCTGCAGAGCAAACCCATATCTTTTGTTAAAAGCAGACAAGTACCAGCATCTTAAGGAAGAACCTTTTATGTGTTTATACTACCTCTATTAGAAAGTTTCTTTTTAAACTTCACTTTTTTTTTTTTGAGATGGAGTCTCATTCTGATGCCCAGGCTGGAGTACAGTGGTACGGTCTTGGCTCACTGCAACTTCCGCCTCCCAGGTTCAAGCGATTCTCCCGCCTCAGACTCCCAAGTAGCTGGGACTACAGGCAAATCCCACCATGTCTAGCTAATTTTTTGTATTTTTAGTAGAGATGAGGTTTCACCATGTTAGCTAGGATGGTCTTGATCTCATGACCTCATGATCTGCCTGCCTTGGCCTCCCAAAGTGCTGGGATAACAGGCGTGAGCCACCATGCCCAGCCACAAAATATTGTTTTTTAATAAACAAAATTGTCTAATTTTTTACACTGAAAATTTGTGTCCAAATAGTTTATAAGAACAGTTAAAAATTTTTTTCCTTTTTAAATTTGTAATCACAATTGCTGTACAAAATGATTCATTATCTGTTTAAACTCACAAATAAAGATTTATTTCTGTTCATTTTAATTTAAATTGCTATTTATTACAAGTGCTTAAAATGTGAAATGAAAGCCTCTTTTCTAGACAAATGATTCACATTTCATATTTCTTCACTTGAAAGGATGCTTTAAAACATTGCCTGCCCTGAAGGAATATACTTAAAATATTCCTTTCATAATTCTTCATTCTCAAAAATTAAGCTATTATTGATAAGGATATCAAAGTTGACAAGACTATGTCAGATGTCAAAAAATTACTGGCTTATTCTTTTAAATCTATTAACTCCAAAGGTCTACCTCCATAAAAAAAATCACAGTTTCTAATTTTAATCTTTGCTTCTTCTCAATCACAATAGTGTATACCACATACAATTCCATTTGCATTGGTTAGGGAAGGGAAATTGGGATGGAAATGAATGAAATATTACTTAACAAACAGTACACTAAATACTAGATCTCATGTGAAATCTTGGGAAGATTTTTATTTTCATCGAAATCTTAATTTACCGTTCACTTTCATGTTAATCTGTTTATCTCCTTAAGAAGTGGGTTTGTGTCAAATAATCATTCCTTTTGGCACTGCTTTCTCTCTTATGAAACAGTAACCTGATTTATACTGTTCTGCCTGGTTAATGCATGCATCCTCTCTGGACCCCTGCCGACAACAAGGTAGAGGGAAAGGAAGTAGTTCACCTATATAATTATTTAAGTCTTCTGCCGGAAAAATGTTCTGTGCCTCTTTAGTCTTTCAAGATGATCAGAGGACACAGTACTATAGATTTGGTGTAACCTTCCCCGTTTCTGAAAGACAGTTAACACAATTCAGTCTTTCAAACATATGTTGCCTACTCTGCACCAGACACTGCATACTAGGGAAGAATATAAAGGTCTGAGATATGGTGTCTGCAGTCCCCAAGGACATTTACAAATAACATGCAGCAGGAAATTACAAGTATTCCAAGAGCTTTGAGTGCAGGAAAGATTACATCTAGCTACAAATGGAGCTGAAAGGAAGAGAAGAGTTCAGTGATAACTTCATAAAGGATTCCAAACACAGGACAGGGGAGGGACACTTGGCAAGGGGAAAGTAGGGAAAGAAGAAATGCGTGCCTCAGAATATAACTTCTCTAGGGCACAGAGCATACCGCAGAAAAGGCTTTGACTTTAGTCAAGATACTTATCATCAAACATGTTAAACCTAATGCACTATTATTTCACCTCTGAAATTAATCAGTCTAACAACAATAAATTAGCATACAAGCAATTGAAGTAAAATTACTACCAAAGAGCACTGGAAAACAACACACGCACACACGCCACACAGAAATAGAAAATCTCTGTTTGTTCCTTCATCACAGTGAGGTGTGGAAGGAATGTTAATTTAAACTACATCTTCATCAATTTACAACTATCACAGATTCCTTTTAGACCATCAGTGTAATGCTACAGGATGATTCTCTGGCATTTTGCTCTAAAACCCACAAATGAGATGATAATGCGACCAGCTGCAGCTCCCTTCCTGAATGCAGCAGCTCTGGGTGTCCACACACTTGCAGCTCTGTACAACTTCACACAAAAGCCTGGCAATTGGCCAAGAAGACTCCATCACAGCGTATACTCCCCAAGGTTGAAGGTTTTCCATTTAATTCCAATTCCGCCATGAAACGACATATACTTTCGCAGACTATAGCTATATAAAACCAATTCAATTCCCACTTCTAGTCAAAAAATATGCCCCTAAAATGCAATATATAAAGACATTAAAATATATAATCTACATTTTTAAGGGCCTTGAATGTAATTCCACGCCATCAAGGTAATTCTTAAAATTTTCTTAAAGAGTTAGTTTCCTCAGAATCTTATCAACATCAAGAAAACAACAGCAACTTGTTATAGCATACAGCGATTTAATTGTATTTCCAAAGTACCCCATTAAGCAATTCATTCACATTGCTAATTGAAAATCAAGAATGAATGTTCTCAACATCTGGTACTATAGGTTGACGTGACCCATGACAATGTGAGACAGATACTTCAAGAATGATGTTAATCTCTGTTGTCTAAAGCAGAAATACAAACACACAGAAACACAGTTCTGCAAATTAGGTAGCCACATCACTCTAGTATGTAAGTTTCCAGAGGGAAAGGGGGAAAAAAAAACCTGAAGGAAAGGGGAATGCAAACACTTTAACTGCCTGGCTAATGCTTAACTTTGGTAGGAGTGTTTCACAACGGCAAATAACAATAAACTGAGCACTAATTCTTGTGTGAAAATCTTGGGAAGATTTTCATTTTTACTGAAATCTTCACCTGCCTCTAGTTTCTCTCTCTCCAGGTCTGGACACCTTCCACACAAAGGATCACTAAATACAGTACTGATCTGAATGTTCTTAAGTATCCTTAAGATAGTCTATTCAATAGCCAAAATTTAATGGTGTTGAACCTGTAAAAATGTAAAAGACCTGGCAAACCACTGACTCTTCTTCCTTTCGATGGGCACCTTCCTATGATACAGTTACTGACTAAAGGCAATGTAGAAAGAATTCTCACACCACTTCAGTAGAAAGTGAATTAAAAGTGTTATCTGGACTTATCTAAATCCACATCTCTACCCAGTAATGCCTTCATGTAACATTCAAGGGCTGTCTGGCAATAAAAAATATCTCCAAAGTGATCCATTAAATGGCTTATCCCCACCCCCCACCTTTAATGTCAACAACCTTTTGAATCACGGGCAAACTGATTAAAACAAGAATTATTCATTGTAATTTACTAGTCACAGAAAGAAATCTGCTTCATACCAAAGTTGAAACTGCAAAATACTTTGAGCATATGGATATGGATCACTAAGCATCACTTACAATCTAAATAACCTAGTTCTGAGTAGTCCCCAAAACAGATAACTACTTTATTATCATTTATACGAAATAGACGTGAACATTATATTACAAAGAGAACAGGACCTGTTGCCAAACTCTTTTTAAAGGATGAGATACTTAAAAAAAATAATAAAAGCACCAGGCGCGGTGGCTCATGCCTATAATCCCAGCACTTTGGGAGACCGAGGCGGGTGGATCACCTCAGATCAGGAGTTCAAGACCAGCCTGACCAACAGGGAGAAACCCTGTCTCTACTGAAAATACAAAAATTAGCTGGGCGTGGTGGCGCATGCCTATAATCCCAGCTACTCGGGAAGCTGAGGAAGGAGAATCGCTTGAACCCTGGAGGCAGAGGTTGCAGTGAGCTGAGATTGCGCCACTGCGCAACAAGAACAAAATGCTGTCTCAAAAAAAAAGCCTGTAAAGCTACATACCAAATTCTTGACATTCACCTTTGGAGAAGCAGAAGAGGAGAGTGGAACTACACTGGGGGAAGGGAGACTGTCAGAACAATTTTTTTTTAAATAAAGCAGTTAAAATTTGTAAGATTATACGACAAAAATGTTAACTGGACAGGGGACAGTAGGAACATGGGTTTGTTCAGTTCTTTTGAACATGGGTTACCACATTATTCTTCAATCTAAAATAACACAAGAAAAATAAATTATAATGAACAACAATAAATAGATATAGTTCCCTGAAGCTAAGATGGATGAGGAACAGGAGATGGGAAAAAAGAGGAGGACCAGAAGTTGAAAGGAATAACGCAAAGTGAAATCTGAATGAATAAAGATAGGTGTTCCTGATGTCTCCAGTTCCCCATGAATCCTGATAGGACTTAAAGGAGGTAATGGCAATAGTAACTGGCTTAGAGACTGGGGAAGGGAGGAGAGCACACTTGCACACACATATTAAGAAATACTGTTTCCAGAAAATGTTAACTTACCAGTATGTACTGTAGCTACTGCAATCCATACATACTGTGTGCTGAGCTTTATCCTGCTTTTCTGATTTCTTATGGTTGGTTAAGGGTACTTGTGCATCTTCATAATGTTTTTTTGCATGGCCATTCACATACCTTACAAAAGCCAAACGAAAATTTACTTTAAATATTGCTTTGGGAATTAGAGTAAGAGATAATAAAATTAAATGTTAATCAAATAAAAATAAGAAAGAAATCCTATAACAGCAGTCAATCATGTAGTGACTTATTAAATTGAATACTTAAAATACGCTCCTTTTTTTGCAACCAAATACTAGAGTCAACTTTTAAAGAGTAGGCACAGGCAAGGAAAGGCATAATCTATGCAAATCGGTTTCAATACCATAGATATTATTTATAAACTCCTTTGCTGCTGCTTTCACTATAACTTTTTTTTTTTTCTCTGACTACTAACCCCCAACTCGGGCTATTATCAAAGACAACAAAATTACTCAGCCACTTCCCACAGGGTTGTAGGCTCTGCTCAGGTTGCTACTTAACAGAAAGTGTGAGAGTAAGAGATACAGGGCAATGCTGGTCTCTCATCAACATGGTTTCCAGTCTTTTATTTGAATGCCTAAGTAATCAGCTCCACTCATATGGAAAAACGTTTGTTTAGAGATAATCCAAACAAAACAAAAATCGCCTTAAGCTTATAAAAACTGCTATTTCTCTACATGGACAAAGATAATCAAAAATTGATTATGTTCCTAAAAATTCTGTAACATATTCCAACTCAGATTTAATAAATCATTGTATTACAGCAAGCACAATGAAACTGAAATAAGGCTCCATATGCACATGGTGTACATCAAAATTCATCTACACCTTCATCTAGAGACTGCACAATTTTGTCACTGACCACCAATGTGAAGACCCTTAAGACGGAACATTTCCCAGTTCCTGGAAAGCAGCCAATTTATAGAAGGCAAGGCCTACGTGAAAACTCAGTCAAAACAAATGTTGTTTAAATGGTTCCAAAATAAACAGATGCAGAGTTAGACGACACTTTCATCATGAGGCACCTCAACTGCACCAGGAACAACACTTACCTTGGGGAAAGTAGGATAGTTATGGTAAGTGGGAAAGATCAGTTTCAAACCTAGCCTCTCTACCCAGGAAAACTGGGCACATTCAAAGCACTATTAACCTCCACTCGGAATGTGATCACGTTCTTTCTCCATTTTTTCACTGTACTTTACACTTTTGCAGATACCTGAGTCCTCTGTCCACAAAACTGTACTATAATGAATTTTAGAGTCAACTAATGATTAAGAGGATACGCTCGAAAACTAGACTACCTGGGTTCAAAGGTAGAATTTATCACATCCTGGCCATGAGAGCTTAGATGAATTATTTAACCTCTCTGTGCTTGTTTTCTCATTTATAAAATGGACATAATAGTACTTTGTATTTCGTGGGTTGTTAGGTGATTAGATAATCCATAGTTCATAACAGATGAATGTTAGCAATTATTTTATTAGCATTCTTATTTCTATGCTTAACTACTACTTAGAATCCAAACAATTGCTTAGGAAGTGGGCACATTTAGCACATATTTCAAGATAACATGTAACTGTATAGGTCAAGAAACACCATTTAAAAAAAGGTAAGGCCAGGCACAGTGGCTCATGCCTGTAATCTCAGTACTTTGGGAGGTGAAGGCAGGCAGATCACTTGAGGTCAGGAGTTCAAGACCAGCCTGGATAACATGGCAAAACCCTGTCTCTACTAAAAATACAAAAATTAGCCAGGTGTGGGGGCGTGTGCCTATAATCCTGCTCCTCGGAGGCTGAGGCACAGGAATCACTTGAACCCAGGAGGCTTCCAGTGAAGGTTGCAGTGAGCTGAGATCACCCCACTGTACTCCAACCTACGCAACAGAGCAAGACTTTGTCCAAAAAATAAATAAGTAAATAAATATAAATAAAAGGTAAACTCTAAGATATCATATAGGTTCAATACCTAATCATCTTAATTGCCTATTCTTATCATATATATATATATATATATATATATAGTACTCGACCATGAAAAATAACAGTAACTCATTGCTATAGTAATAATACTAAACAACTACATTACCACCTGCAAATTTTTGAGAACTCAACATCTTTACATAGTACATACAGTTCAGTTAACTACAACACTGTAGTTTCCAAATGTACTAGATGTTTAAATAGTTCCAGTACATATCAGAGATAAAGTAAGAAGTATGATTACTGATGATATTAAGATTAGCAATGTTTTGCCTAATGCCCAAATACATTATTAGTCAAAGAGGTTCACAGTTTTGTATACACTAGCTAATACGAAATTATATATTTCCCTCATCTAGTTTTGGATTTTAACTAGACATTCTGGTCTACAGCACAAGAGGAAAAATTTTACTACATGTCACAAATTTCTAACAACAATCACAAAAATTTGAAAAATAACTTAAATGGGATGAGGTCATGAAGACCAACAGAACTTATAACTCATATATGCTACTGATAAACTATATTTCCTAATGGGAAGAATATTCACTTTATGACTTCCCTAAAGACAAGCAGTCTAAAATTACCAAAAAAAATCAATAAATTTGGCAATTGACACCTGGGATCACATGATAAAAGAATAGTAACCAATCAGCTTCATAAAATGGAGATCCAAACTCAGGCTACTCTGAATTTTCTGTTTAATCTACTTAATCACATTTCTCCAAAACTATGTCAAACTTCTAAATTTAAGCTTGTTTGCAATTGGAAACAGTCCACCTGCAGAGTCAAGAAATTTTTCAATTTATTTTTCCAAAACCTACTTTAGTTTGTTGTTTGCTTTAAGAATGTTAATCTCTAATCTTTGAGCTTGTCAGGTCTTTTGATTGGCACATGACCATCAAGATTTAGGTTGTAGAGCACTATGAGACATCTGGAGAACAGAACTACATAAATTTTATTGGATTATAATTCTCACCTCTCAAAATCTAGGAGAGGAATCTGTCTCTTCAAGTGCAGAATTTAAGTGCTTCTACTTTTCTTCTTTTTTTAAAAAAAGTTATCTGTACAAAGTATTTTCAGGTTCCCCAAATCCTAGAGATTTCAAAACCACAACAGCCACAATTAAGAAATGCAGTTAACATTTTCCAAAAGTACGCTTAAGTGCACATGGAAAAAATACTCAATTCCAAGATTCAAAATGTGAAAAATCAAAACTTGACTGAACAAAGAAAGATGCTTTCTTTATGCAAGGAGGATTTAAAATAACGAAGGGGAAATATTCCAGGTAAACACAATACAGATGTCAGCCTATGGGACTCAGTATTATTTCTCATTTCCTTACTGCTCAGCTATTAATTTCCAAAGTAAATTCAAAGTAGATTTTCTAAGCTGGAAGAGCAGTATAAATAAATGTGCTGCTATCAGGCAAAAAACCACAGGCAATATTTACTTGAATTTGTGCTAGGAGAGTTGCTATTTAAATAACATTATTTTGAGGCCAAGAACTGGGAAGAAACAGGTTTACACAGGGTTGGGTGAGGTAGAAGATGTTGTCCATAGAAAGTAGTGTTTTAATGGAACAATGAAACATTTGGTATATCTTAGACAGGAGTTAATAATGAAAACTCCACAATGAGATCATTTTCAAAAGGAATTCCTTTATCTGTAAGTATTTTCAGTGTTTTTTTTTCTTTCCCAGAAGAATGATATCATACCTGGGATTTGATTCAAAAGTCAGAGGTGGGGACAGGGTAGGTAATAGGTGAAAAAGATTGGCCACGTGTTGATAATTGTTGATGCTGGGTGAATGGAACATGAGGTTCAATTATATATACTATCTCTATGTTTGTATGTGCTTAAATTTTACCCTAATAAAAGGTTTAAAAAACAACCATTAGGTAAATTGTACTTCAAGAATTCCCTTAGCTCATATTTCCACTCAAATATTACTAGCAGATTGTCTTGGTCATCAAACTCATTCTTCTGAGTATCAATACGAAGAGTTTTTCTCCCCTAGTATCATAGAACAAAGGGATTCAATTGGAGAAGTCCTACAGAGCATTATGCATTGTGATTAACAATGGTACTAAATCCAAATCAATACAACTCCGACATAAAGCTTAAACACAAATTTTAAAAAGCAAACAGGGCAGTGAAGTAGTAAGTATGTCACTTACCTTCCACAGTGGACACTTGAACAAGTCAAACAGACCCAAGGGCTTTTGTTGGACCGGCACACTAATAAAAAGAAAAATATACAATATACCAATTGTATCATGTTATTTCCCAATTTCTCCCCATTTTCCTGTGATTAAGTTTAAAATTCCATGGCTATGTAGGAGTGAAGTTGCAAATCCGTGCTTTGTGAATGCATTTGCACAAAATGGCCGCCTATTTAAGTTATACTGAAAAGAATTTAAATGCATGTCCACAACAGGGGCTCATTTTAATTGCTGACTCAAACAGCTTAACCACATTAAACACATATATGCTTGCCTCTTCTATTACTTATTCCCTTTTGCCACAGTCTTCGACAAGCCTATTTTCGACAGCCTATTTTCCCATTAAAAACATTTTCTTAAAGTCTAGTCTTTTAATCACATGTCTTTGCCATGTAGGTCATACACCACTATAAATGACAACTCTTTCAGTTTATTTACTAAGAGCCACGACAGAAGGTTACAATTAGGAAGTCTAAGCCTAGTTTTCCCAAAGTAATTCTTAGTTGCATAAAATACATAACTGCACCTAATTCTTGCTGATGGTATAATCAAGACATTAATTATTTTAGTTTATGTATTATAGTGATGGGGCAGGCAAGAAGGGGTATGGAAATGAAATATCGAAATTAAAATTTTGCTTGCTGTCTACTCATTCATTTTTTAGTAAGTCCTAAATAAGTAACAATGATATTCAAAAGGGAGGGATATCAAAATCACCTGGAAAGCTTTTTGAAAACACCTATGTTCTACTCAAAGATATCTACATTGGGGTGGGGAAAGAAGTAAAAAGAATATGTATATTTTGTGAAAAGTAGCTTCCCAGGTGACTTCCTGATACAACCCCTAGAGAACTGCTAGTCAGCCTCCTAGAGGCATGGGAGGGGCACTGCCGCACAACCACACAGGATCATAACAACCACCTGGAATGTTGTAGGTGCTCAATAAACATCTGTGGAAGAGAAAGTTTAAATTTCTTAGTTTAGGATATCAATCTCTTCCAAGATCTGGTCTCTGCCCACATTTGTCGTGCCTCATCCCATATCACAACAGGCCTTTCTCACTGTTAAAAAAAAAAAATAACCAAAACTGGAAAAAAGGTGAATGGAGAACTGTAAGCCATTTCAACATGTACTGAAACGCTGTTTAATAGCTCCTCTCAAAGATAGTTAATTATATTACCACGGACCTGTTTACTTATTGACTAGGACCCAAATTCTATGAAGTTACAGGTAATGTACATTGTCCAGCAGCCTCCAAAAGTTACGGTTATACTATCCTACCCTGTAGGATATTAACCAATTTTGTATCTAGCTTAGCAACTTTATTTCAATGCTTTTTTCTTCACTGTCTATACACACTCAGTTCCCAGCTGCTCTTGGAGCCAGCTTTACCATCCTACTGGTTCCCTCATTCATGAGTTAAATAAATCTTTGACTATGTTCATCCTGTATTTGTATGAAGAGGGGACAGGGCGTGAGAACAGGTGAATACAGTGATATACCATCTGACAGACTCTACAGGTTGGCAAGCGCGGAACTTTAGTTTTCAATGTAAAAGCTTTGAGTGGTGAAATCCCCTTCTAGTTGCCAAAGGGCTTCCTTTTTCTTAGTGCATTCACATATTTACATTCACTATCAGGGTCATTCTTGAAGGCAATGAAGGCATTTTTTACTAAACTGGGTATAATTTTGTTACATGTATATGTAAAATGCATGAAAGATGTGGAAGAGTACCTACCAAACTGTTAAAACGACTATTTCAGGCAGGTACTTAGAAGGCTATTGTGAGGGAGACTGCTGGCTTTTTATTTGTACTCCCCTATGATGTCTGCCTTACAGCAATGAGAATATGATGTTTCTACAGTTTGAAGAGAAAGCTCAATAAAATTTATTTTACAAAATAAAAAGCAAACTAGTACAAGCCTTACTTGAACAGCTATTCATGGTTTGAGGTATGATTTGGAGGACTGAGATATAATGAATATTAGTATTTTGTTTCTCCAAGAAAGCTTTTTTCTCTTAGTAAATATTAAGAAACACTGGGGCCAGGTGCACGGGCACATGCCTGCAGTCCCAATACTTTGGGAGGATGAGGCAAGCAGATTGCTTGAGTCCAGTAGTTCGAGACCAGCCTGGGTAAAATGGTGAAACCCCATCTCTACAAAAAATACAAAAATTGGTTAGGTGTGGTGGCACGTGCCTATAGTCCCAGCCACTTGGGAGGCTGAGGTGGGAGGATCAACTGAGCCCAGGAAGGTGAGCTGCAGTGAGCCATGATTGCACTACTGCACTCTAGTTTGGGTGACAGAGCAAACCGTGCCAAAAAAAAAAAAAAAAAAAAGATGGACGGATGGATGGACGGAAGGACAGACTGACTGACGGACCGACGGACTGTAAATCTGGGAGAAAAAAGTTGTTATAGTTTAACATTATTCTGAAATAACTATGTTACAATAGTAAGTTTAGGCCCAAGGTCATATTTTTGTTTTCTTTTGAGAAAGGGTCTCTCACTCTGTTGCCCAGGCTGGAGTGCAGTGGCATCACAGCTCACTGCAACCTCCACTTCAGAGGCTCAATTGATCCTTCAACCTCCGCCTCCAGAGTAGCAGGGACTACAGGCATCTGTCACCATGCTTGGCTAATTTTCTGTTTTTCTTTTTTGGTAGAGACAGGGTCTCATTATGTGGCCCAGACTGGTCTTGAACCCTTAGCTCAAGCAATCCTCCATGCCTCAGCCTCCCAAAGTGCCCAGATTATAGGTATGAGCCTCTGTACCTGGCCTAGGCCCAAGTTTTTAACTACCCAGAGATATTTTTTTAATTATAGAGGATTTTGTTCCTCCTTTGTACAAGGATAAAGGAATCTAGAGTAGAATCCCTGTGACTCTGCTTTGAGTATGTTTCGTACCAAGTGTTCCTTTCTTCCTCACTTTAGGATTGTAAACCTACCCACAGTACACACAATTTAGTGATCTCCTTTTCCCCACTTAAGGTACATGAACACATATGTTCATGTTACTGCATTTAAAACAGTGTATTATAAAGCTAGTCTTTTTTTTTTTTTTTTTTTTTTGAGACAGAATCTTGCTCTGTCGCCCAGGCTGGAATGCAGTGGCGCGATCTCAGCTCACCGCAACCTCCGCCTCCTGGGTTCAAGAGATTCTCCTCTCTTAGCCTCCCAAGTAGCTGGGACTATAGGCGCATGCCACCATGACCAGTTAATTTTGTGTGTGTGTGTGTGTGTGTGTATTTTTAGTAGAGACAGGGTTTCACTGTGTTAGCTAGGATGGTCTCAATCCCCTGACCCTGTGATCCACCCACCTCAGCTTCCTGAAGTGCTGGGATTACAGGCATGAGCCACTGCACCTGGCCATAAAGCTAGTCTTATAATATCAATTATCTCACAAGGCTTTGTTAATTTTTTTTTTAATTTCTTACAAATTTTAAAAAACAAAAAAAAACTCTAACGCTGAGGGGGTCAAGAGAATGGGAAGTAACTGCTAAATTGATATATAGTTTATCTTGGGGTTATAAAAATGTTTTGGAACTAGACAGAGATGGTAGTTGCAAAACAACTGTGGATATACTAAATGCCACTGAATTTAGTTCACTTTAAGATGGTTAATTTTATGAGAATTGTGCATCAATGAGACAGACAGGTACGTAAGGATGCGAGAAAGTAAAAGGAAACAAAGTACTGACTTTCAAAATCATTGGAAACAAGTACTGTGGACTGTGCCTTTTAATATATCTAAAAAAAAAAAAAAAAAAAAAACCACTTTACTACCTGCCAAGTGTGGCAGTGACTGCATCTGTAATCCCAGCAACTTGGGAGGCTGAGGCAGAAGAATCACTCGAGCCTAGAGTCTGAGGACAGCCTGGGCAACATACAGTGCTCTCTGCGGGCGTACTGCAGTCACACCAGATAAACACTTGAAGCCTAGAAAGATACAGAGGATAGGGTATTGTGATTCTGAAGCCAATAAATGGCACTGCTTTGGGGAATATTCACTCTGTTTATACATGCTTCATCCAAATTAAGAACCTTTACTGTACCCAGGACAAATATAAAATAGAATGAAAAACACTGGCTTTAAATTAAACTCTCAATTATTGTTAAGAATAGAACAGAACTGTACAAATAAAAGAATACTACAGATAATCCGAAAACCATTTTTTAATCATCTTTAGGGGGACCATCTTATTATAAAAGGCAGTTTCAATTTATAGATAGATGAGATTCAAAAGTTTATCTATACGATAAACACATTTCCCATGGAAACAGTATTAAACGTTTCCAGGATTGTCTCCAAAGCCCTAAATGACATAATATAGCTGAAATACTCATATACACACACATACTTATACATATGCTCACACAATAAAACCAGTCAATAAAAATATTTTTAGGCTCTGAATATAGTATCTATTCAGCAAAACACAAAAATATTAAACCAAAGTTTTTTCTTTTATTTTTTTAATCTTAAATGCTGGTACTTGAGAGAAAGGCTGATAAGGATAGACACTTGCGAAAGCTCAAAAAGTTAAATCTGGGAATTTATAACGGTTTTTAATACATCCAATTACACTTCAAGGTGATGTCACGGAAAAGGAAGCCATGTAATTTATTTCTTACATTGTTACACTTGGCCACAGCAGCGTGATTTGGAGTCTCTTAAGTGAAACTCATCTTTTACTCAGATTGTAAAATTTCCTCAAACCAAGATATCCTGTCCTTCAGCAAATTTCTCCAGTTTGTTTGGATTCTTTCACTCCTGACCAGTGTCTCAGCTCTCAGCCCAGAGGCTGGTACTAACTAGGCTCCTTTCACTGCCTCCTCTTCAGCTATGGCTTCAGAATCTTCCTCTGTCCCTGTTCTCACCTCAGCCACAAATTCTTCAAGTTGGCAGGAGGGCCCCCTTGTCTGGAGGAGATGAAGAAGCTCTATCCTCTCCTGAGCTAGAGCCATTCGCCAGAAGATAAAAGCTATCACATAGGCTGGGCCGTGGAGAGGGTGGGAAGAACCCCAGCCTCTAAAACGTGCCTTGGACTCAAATCTTCCTCCAAAAACCACCTAAACCTTTAACTCTCCTGAAAACCAGATGAGAACCAAAGGCACACAAAGGCATCTAAGTGATCTAGAAGCCAACAGTGGTTTAGCCTGTGCTATACTTCTGAAAGGAAGAGCAGGCTGGTCCTTTATCAAGAGAGACTGGAGTAGAAACCCAGGAAGTTCTGTGTCTAAAGAAGCCTAGTTACACATGATTCTTTTCAGGTAATGTTCACAAGACAAGGAGTTCTTAAAACAAAAGCACATCCACACTGAATATAATGTTATTTATACCCAGCCACTGACCTTCAACATCATCTTAGTATGCATACAATCTCATAATAGAGGATATTTGATATTCGAGGCCTGCCAACAAGTCTGGAATTCTAAATTTTTGGACAAAACATCATACATGACTGCTCATGACACAACTTCATCACTGTCTCTACACAGAATAGTTTAAGCAGACAGTACTGACAGGTAAGCCGTTTATAGTGCATCCATTATTCACCAGTTGTTTCAGTTGGAAGAAAAGGCTCTTTATCTTCTCAAGATGTCAGAAAGGTGAGGATCAGGTGACTGGGATTCTAGTTCTGGGTCTACCATTACTAGCTACAGAAGAGAGAACATCACTACCATTCTGGGTCCTAGTTCTTTAGTGTAAAATGAAGAGCAGGTGATGACCATGTTCCCTCTATTTATAAAATTATTAAAAGAACATGCTGGGCGCAGTAGTTCACACCTGTAATCCCAGCACTTTGGGAGGCCCAGGTGGGAGGACTGCTTGAGCCTAGGAGTTTGAGACCAGCCTGGGCAACACAGGGAAACCCCATCTCTACTAAAAATTAAAATAAATATTAGGCGGGCATGGTGGTGCACACCTGTGGTCCCAGCTACTCTGGAGGCTGAGGCAGAGAATCCCTTGAGCCCAGTAAGTCAAGGCTGCAGTGAGCCAAGATCACACCACTGCACTCCAGCCTGGGTGACAGACCAAGATCCTGCCTCAAAACAAAATAATTTACGGAACTTAAGTACTGGCAAAAGCGAGATGAAACAATCATATCATCCTCCCCCATAAATAAAATCCTTCCAATTCTACTTTCTGCCTAAGTCTCTTAAAAGGCTTAACAAAAAGATTAACTGCTAATATAGGATAATTTTCTAAACCAGCGGTTTTGAGGTGTTTTCCTGCCTCCCATTATCCCAGAGATGCAAACACATTCCTACCGCATTGTCCATCAGTAACAGCAACCCACTGCAACAAGAGCGTGGGAAGTACGGGAATCGCTGTTCAAGATCATTAGAGACAAACATGCTGCTACAACAGTGAAACTCAGAAACCACCACTCTACACAATTTTTAAAGTGCAACACTCTAAAAATATTAGCAACCCATAAGGAAACATCTATGTTTTTTAAGCAGTTCATTTTCATTAGTTAACACTTATATAGTATATACAGTGTGCTATATACAGGCGCTGTTTAATCCTCCACAGTCCCCATTATTTGGCCTGTTTTACAGATGAGGAAAATGAGGCAGAGAGCAGTAATATAACTTGCTAAATCAGCAAGTGATAGAGCTCGAAATTAAACTCATAGAGTGTTTCAAGGCACAGATTGTTGCAAAGCAGTCGTCCAGGAGACTAAATCTTTTGTTTCAAAAAGATAACATGCTATGTGTCTCTGAGTTTATATATGTATTACATACCTGCCACTATACTGTTTAAAGTTTTCCAAAAAGCATTATTTATTTTATGATAAAAATTAAAGCATTTTAAATTTAAAGATACTAATATTATAAAGTTGTCCTAAGAAAATGAACTTATTCTAAATTTTTAAGCATTAGTGGAAAGTTAAATCAAAATCCAAGGTCATGACTCTATAGATTTTTAATATTACAATGAAAATTTTCAAATTTTGCAGCAGTTATTAAAACACACATATACCACGAAAGTATCAATAGTAAAAGTGTTATTCCTCTTAAAACTGGAGGATAGGGCAGTATCATCATAAAAATTCTATAAACATTCCAGTACATATAAGTAAAAGTATATTCCAGAAGGACCTAAGTTACCTTCCAAATGAAATATTTTTAGATGCTTAAGAGCAAGACATATAATCTTCTGTACACCATAAATCCTCTCAGCTGCATGTTCACAAGCCTGTTCTATACTAAAAGTTCAGAAGTCTCTTCTAACTTGAGTCCCCTGAAATTATTAGGGGGAGGAGTTGGTGAAGTCACAAAAAGATAGCAAGAACTGAGCCAAAATGTAATCCAGAAAAGAAGAAATCAAACTGCAAGAAGCAAGTGCCAACATGCCAAAGCAGCCCAAGTGCAGCCAAGAGTGGGTGGTACGCTCCCAGGGAACAGGGCCACAGGAAGGTTCTCGTAAAGATAGCAACAGGAGGTACTCAGTGTCAAACGGGGAGCAATGCAGAGCTTGGGAAACCAAGCAGAGGTCCAAACAGTGGGGAGGAGACCAGTCATGAGCACCAAATTCAAAATGGTCAGAAGTGCTGTCCTGGGACTCAAGGCCAAGACCATAGAACCGAGACTCCAGATCCAAGGCAGGAAAGACAATTATGATTTGGTTGCCTTTCTACTTTCCCATGAAAATTTTTTCCACTTTCCTCCTTCTAGAGGCTCTCTTTTGCCTCTATCCCTTTCTTATTTCTGACAACCAGTCTCTTCCGAGTCATTAGGTAAGTCAGACTTATATTTGCTGGTGAAGTCAGTTCAAGCATTTCTCCTAACAATCCTCTCCTTTCTGCTTAATGACCCTGTGGTAGATTAAAGATGGCCACAAATTCTTTGACATTCTTCCCATGATAGACAGGGTCTATATCCTCATTCTCCGAATATGGGCAGGCTCTGTGACTGCTTCGACAGAGTGATTATGGCAGAAGTGATTCTATGTCAACCTGCAAGTACAGGCCTTAAGAAATGTACAGCTCCCTCTTGCTATTGCTTGAAATGCTTGCTCTTAGGAAAGCCAGCTGCCACGGAAGAAGTCTAACTACCCAGAGACCAGCATGCTGAGAAAAGCCCAAACCATGTGTAGGAAGACTGGGGAGATTATGACACTACTGGGGGACAGAGACGCCACAGACCACAGAGGTACTGAACAGGTGAGTTAAGAAGACTCTAGAACATCCTCTTCCAAAGTGTCTTCTTAACGCACATGTCTGGTAACTCTGTGAGCCCACATTCTTCACCTGATGCAATTCCAGCCAAGTTCTTCCTGAATTCTTGACCCACAAAATTATAAGCAAAATAAAACAGTTGTTTTAGGCTTCTAGGATGTATGGCTATTTGTTATGCAGCAACAGATATCCAGAACACCACTTACAGAGCGAGCAGTATCAGTAATGCAGCATCCTTCATACCCGCCAAACAACTCACTGACCTGACTCAGTGACTGACCTGTTGTTTAGGACAAGTAAGGATGAAAAAGAAACTTCAAGAGGTTTTACCCAGGAGGATTCAAAGCTATCCAACGACTATACTATTCCCTCCACAACAGAAGTAGTGACAATAAAGACTTGATATTTATCTTCAACTAAGCCACCATTGTCCTTTGGACTGGATCTTTCTGTATCACAACAATATTTTAATAACTCAAATCTAGGTGTGCCACCGCTACCTCAAGACAACCTATTTCTTAAGCACAAACATCATTCCGAATGTTGCCCTACATCGTGAAAACCATTAAGTCAGTAACAAGTAAGTTTAGAACCTTCAAAATTTCAAAAGAACTATTTCCACAGAAATCCCAAATTCTGGGTAAAGATCCTTAAGAAAGCACCATAAACAGTGGCAGAAATTCCTTTTCTCTTCATTAAAAGGTACAAAGCCTTATCCTTTGTTCCTTTTGCTTCCCTGGATGATGTTATTTAATAAGCATTCTAGGAAATCCCAGGTTTTACCGAAGGTTGAACTTGAAAAACTGCTTCTAAATAATAAGAGTTGTGAACATTACTCGTTCTGTTTCTATTTCTCTTTACCCCAAGAGCTCTGACATATTCCTCAGCCAGCATGACTCGATCCCCAACATGCCCAGCAATGCCTGATCCCAGGCCTCTGTAGCTGGAACTACTCACAATTTTTTCACAACTCCTAGCAAACTATTCTACAACTGACCTAAAAAGGAAGGGACACAGTGATCACAACTCTGCTCCACATTGTTTTGGTTGAACTAAGTAAATGCCTTTATCACCTGCCCTTGAACCCTTCCAGAAGAATTCCTTCTCTCTTTTACACAAAAACGTACCAAGCAGAATGAGTTGCCTTCATAGGAATTTGTTCCTCCATAGACTCAAAATAAACATGATGCAGGTCACATGACATAATGAACCAAGCACAGGCTTCAGAATCAACTTTCTTAAAGTTGTAGCTCTACCATTTTATTCTATGACCTTAAGCTAAGTTAGTTCCAGAATCTGCTTCCTCTCTGCAAAATGGGTCAAATCCCACCTACCACCTCACATGGCCTAGCCAATGGAAAGCACTCAGTGAATGTCGGTTCCTTTCCCTCAAACTCCTCCTATACCAGACCTAAAATTAAACAATATTAAAAACATCAAATAAATACTCAATTTCAATAAGCTTATTTCAAAATTTATATAACTGTTATAACCACCTTAAATGTCAGAATTATTAAATTTTATGTACCTAGTGTAAAATAAATATTTCAGGAAAAACATATTTTAGAAGCACATTTTAAGAGATAAGGTTTAGACAACAGAATGCTACTCAGGTAAAACATTTAAGTAGAGGAGCAACTCAAGTGTCAAAACTCTATTAGAATACATCAAACTCAGAGGTATTCAGAACAGACATTAAATCCTGGTACACTAATCTAATCAACCAAAATATACTCTGGGTATCTACTCCATTTAGTGCACTGCTGGTATCTTATCAGTATAGTAATCAATAAAATGTCAAAATTCAGACTAACAAAGATGCTAAGTTCATTAATGTGAACTGTTCTATATTCCAATATCCAATAAAATGAGGTTACAAGCCAAGTCATTTAGAAATATATTTTAATTTCTAACTTTTGTTTTAGCAAAGAAGTTGGTAAGAATTTCAAATCACAGCACATTTAAGATATGGTTATCAGCTTATTTTTATGGACAATTAGGTTTTAACCTCTACCCTAAATAATTCCTCTTCACCCTATTACCTAGTTCTCTTTAAGGAGCAGAGGCTAATTTTGAGACTGTGCTCTAGCCTACCTTCCGAACCTTTCCCATGTCAGGCCACGCACGGAAAGTAACATCTGTTTGGCACACGCACATTAACTGAAGAGGTTTCTCACGGCCAGAAATGATCTATACAGGAGTACAGCCACCTCTAGGCTGAGGGGATAATTTATTTCAACACATATGTAATCCATTTGTGGCCCCTCTGTTGGGAAGCTATGCTAGCCAATCTTTTATGCGGTTATCTAGTAATGCAAGAGGACATCTCCCTTCTACTCCAATGTTTGCTAGCAGGAACAAAAGACTATAAGTCATTAATTTCCTGAAAGGGCTGGGCAAGGTAGCTCATGCCTGTAATCCCTGCACTTTGGGAGGCCAAGGCAGGAGGATCACTGGAGACCAGAAGTTCTGGATGGGCCTGGGCAACAAAGTGAGACTGCGTCTCTATGACGGGAAGATAAGTGTGGAATTTCGGGCCTCTGTAAGCTGAGATTGCACTACTGACTCCAGCCTGGGCAGCAAAGCAAGATCCTGTCTCAAACAAACAAATCACCGGAAGCATCACCTGGGAATCCAAGATGCCATTCCTCTGAGGATCTACAGTTCATAACCATCAATCCTCTGAGACCTATCAGAGAAAACAGATGCTGAAATCCTTATTTCTATCCCATGTATAATTGTCTTGTCCTCCTGCCATTCTTTTTTTTTTTTTTTTGACAGAGTTTCGCTCTTGTTACCCAGGCTGGAGTGCAATGGCGCGATCTCGGCTCACCGCAACCTCCGCCTCCCGGGTTCAGGCAATTCTCCTGCCCCAGCCTCCTGAGTCGCTGGGATTACAGGCATGCGCCACCATGCCCAGCTAATTTTTTGTTTTTTTAGTAGAGACGGGGTTTCACCATGTTGACCAGGATGGTCTCGATCTCTTGACCTCGTGATCCACCCGCCTCGGCCTCCCACAGTGCTGGGATTACAGGCTTGAGCCACCGCGCCCAGCCCGAAGTATTATTATTAAACTTAAAGAAAAATCTAACTTGGATGTGAATGATCAGAGAACTTAATTTTTAATTTTTAAACCTTGTAGAAATTGTTAAATTAATATAAAGTAGATGTTTATAACTTACACTTTTTAAATTATTTCACTTACTGAACAGATAATAATGAACTTCTAGGTGCCGAGGAAACAACTAAGAGCAGAGCAAAGTCCCTGTCATTCTATAACCCCAGTTAACAGTTCAACATGAAGGAACCTATTGTGAATTAAATTAAATTAAATGTTAAAGGAGAAGTACCCGAAACGGCTGGTCTGAGCCGAGGCGGTAGAAGACCACTGATGAGTGTGTATAGGAACAGTTAACTGTTTAAAATGAACCCTGACCCAGGGCATATGATCAGCTACTACTTGACTAAAAATGTCCCAAGGCCACTTCTAGCTCTCTAATAGCAAGATTTCCCAACAGAAAAATAATTATGATAAAGTATTTCACTTCAATAGCCTTAGATACATTTGTACGACCACAGTGAAAGGGAAGTTTGGAGTAGGCAGACAAAGAGCTTGAAGTATTATCTTACACATTACTGCTCCCACAATTAAAAAGTTAAATTTGTGTTCTTCCCTGAAGATACCCAATAATACAAACATATCTTTGTACAAGGCTATTAATTGCTGCATTATTTGTAACTACAAATACTGGAAACAGCCTGAATGCCCACACATAGGAGACTGGTTGAATTCACTGTGGCACATCTACAAATGGAGTACTAGAAGCTGTTTAAAAAAAAAAAGAAGGAAAATTCCTACAAACAGGGAGTGGCATCCAGCATATACTGCCAAATGAAAAAAAACAAAGTCCAAAAGAGTATATATGGTTTGCTGTATTTTGTGTGGGGGGAAAAAAGAAAATAAGAAAATACCCATCTGCTTTTCTTTACAAAAAGAAACATAGGAATCAATCAGAAATTAATGAAATTGGTTGTCTACAGGGAGTGGGTAGGAATGAGCGGCAGGTATTATGTAGTCACACTGCTTAGTACAGCTTTTTGGAGAGTTTTAACTTTTGGAGCCATGACAATGTTTTATATACTCAAAAAGCCAAATAAAATTAATAAGGATGAGATTTTTAAAATCTAAAATGGAAATCAAACACAAAGAAACAAACTTTATGTCAAATAAGTGTATTAAAAGGGAGATAAAAACTAACCCAAATAAACTTTTGAACATAGTACTTTATATGTTGTCAATATACAGGCAAAAAGAACTGTTAACAAATTTGAACTCTAGTTATAAGGGGGTTTCTTTACAATGATATGGATTAGCAATTCTGGAACTATCTTCTCTGATTATAGAACTGAGCAAATGAGTACATACTCATTGTAGATAATGGGAACCAGATTTTCACTGTTAAAGAAAGGTGTTACAAATATAGAAGGGGGCAAGACTAGGCCCATGTTGTTGAATAAAATTGTAGTTATCAATATAAAATCATGGTGATAAACACACAAATACACACAGACATAAAACAGATGTAGATATGTTTATTTATTTATATTTATTAGCTCTTCTGTGCTGAGAGATCTTAGCTTATAAATATTATTCCCAGGCAAAAAGAATGAGGGCTACTTGGAGAAATGGCTAATTCCAAGGCTGGAACAGGCTAAGTACAAGATGAGCCTGGAACATCTTGTGCCAGAAAGAAAGGGCTCAAATATAAGCTAATTTGAGCCTCAAAATAAATAATGCTAAGAGTGCCACAGAATTAAAAAAAAAAAAAACCCTATGAGTAAAAAAAACCCTATGAGTCCTTATTAAGATAAGTAAGCAAATTAATAGTAAGGGAGAAAGTTCTTACTTATAGTAGAATACCAACTAACATGCAGAAGAATTATGAGTCAGAAAATCACCACCTTATAATCATCCTACTAATAACTGATTCAGGCAAGAACCATCAATGAATGTGAAACTATTGGGTTAAACTTTGGTAAGAAACAGGGTATATACATAATCTAAAAATATTTCCCACAAATTACTTCTTAACAACAAAGGAGAAAATAGTAACTTTATAGCTGATTAACCTACCAAATATTGCCTTAATAAAGCAATCAAAGTTAGTATTACCAAAAACAAGACAAACCAAGACTTGATATGATGTCTGAGAAGAGATACAACATTACTTCTGCGGTATTCCTTCAAAAAATGCATTGCCTGAATCTAATCATGAAGAAACCTCAGAAAACTCAAATTGAAGAACATTTTATAAAATAACTAAAATGAACTCTTCAAAAATACTAAGACATTATGATGTTGGCTGTGGGTTTAGAATAG